CAACTGTCTATCACCTGAGTGAAATGTGAACAAAGGTAGAAAAAACTGAATATTAAAACCAAAACTCTTAGTAATTTATTTTTTTTTATGCGATTATCATTTGGTATCTATTTGTTTATAACCTGTATGAGCTTTCTTAACATTGATTTATTATATTCCAATTGTAACTGTTTTAAAACTACAATTAATTCCATTGTCATTCCTATAAGCCCATTTGCGGATAATCTTTAAGTTCTCTTTGAAGTTTGTAAGACTTTTCACTAATCTTCAGACTGCTCCAACATCGAAGATGTACATAATAGATTTTTGGCTTTTAACGTTCACTCACAAAAAGATGAAAGACAGAAATCGGTAGGAATATAATTCGACCTAAGGGCAAAATGTTTCTTTTACATCACGTGACGAGATGAAGGAACCAAAAAACTTAGGTCAAAGTATAATATATAGATTTAGCCAAGCCTAAAAGCGGAGCTCGTATTTTTTTTTCCCCGCACGTCTCAAGGGCACAACGCCTTGCCCCGGCCAGGACTAGAATCCGGGTCGCCCAACTCGCAGCCCAGTGCACTGACCACTGAACTACTGGACAAAGCCGTGGCGTTGGCGTACCCGCGGTACAGCTGACCACGCATGTTAAAAGAAGCACCTTGTACGGTCGTACGGTCGTACATCCAAATTTTTTCGGCTTGATGGGCTACTACTATTTTGCATAATTTTGGGGCTACGCTCTGCGAGCTCCGCTATTATTTACGACAGTGACCCAGTGAGTTAAGTCTAGTTTCTACGGTTCGCTTACCTGCGAGTTAACAAAGTTGATGTACTTCAACACGGAAGCTGAGTCAGTTCAGTAGTAAACTTGGTCTGCTGTCATTTCCAATTCTTCTCCAATAATTCTGGAGAGCCTTACGCAGATAACACTGACTGTCAGTTCCAATATTGGAATTGAAATTTCATGTATGGGACTTGCTTCTTCCATGACAAATGCACAGTGAACTTGGTTAATGACATTTTTCAAACGGAAGTAAACGACGGCTGAAATTCATTATCATGGCCAATTTACATTGTCAACTCAGTTGGTAAAGCCAAATAGTTTTTTAATACCCCACCAAAGTTTCTTCAAAAACTTACCCCGTTGTTTATAGAAACTATGCATGTGGAAAGTTCTCATTGCAAAAGTTAAGATAAAGTCTGTCAGTTTTTTTTATCTTTGTCCAATGACTTTAAAGTCATGTAATGTTCTGCAAAAATCTCAACTTGAGGAAAATAAAAAGTTGACCAACCGACTTCTTCACTTTTTTGTTTTTAAGTGGATATTGTGAATTCTAACACTTTCAGCTTGTTACAAATAGTTTCCGGGTGTAATCGACCCAGCCCGTTTTTGTAACTTAACATGTGTGTTCCTGTTTGAAGTGACTCGTTATTAATCAAGATTATCGACCATTTAGTATTGTGTTACTAAAAATAATGTTTCCCTGATAACAGTTGAGGATTGCAATGGAAACCTAACAGCAGAAGCCATGACACCTTTCATGAGCCTCGCCTTATTTGTTGCCCTGTTCTTGCTCAACTCAGATCGCATTCAGAAAGCCATTGAGATATGCAGCGAATGTTTGATTTTGCTTAATGGCACCGATCAAAACAGCAAAGACCAATTTGATTCAGCACTGCTACAATTTTACAGCGACATCTATACCATTCTTTTCAGCGCTTATCGTCATATCTCTGACTACATAAGTGCGGAAAGATACGGAAGGAAACTGTTTGCCTTATACAGAGGGTATGGAATTATGCTTTATAAACTTGGCGAAAGCCTAAAAGCAAAGGAATATTTTGAGAGGGCCCTTGCCATAACAACCAAAATTGGCGACAGAGGAGGGGAAGCATCATGTTATGGAAACCTAGGTACTGTGTTTACGTCGCTTGGCCAATACGACAAGGCTGAAGAGTATCTCCAAAAAGCGCTTGTCATCACAACTGAAATTGGCGACAGAGGAGGGGAAGCATCATGTTATGGAAACCTAGGTACTGTGTTTACGTCGCTTGGCCAATACGACAAGGCTGAAGAGTATCTCCAAAAAGCGCTTGTCATCAGAACTGAAATTGGCGACAGAGAAGGGGAAGCATCATGTTATGGAAACCTAGGTACTGTGTTTACGTCGCTTGGCCAATACGACAAGGCTGAAGAGTATCTCCAAAAAGCGCTTGTCATCACAACTGAAATTGGCGACAGAGGAGGGGAAGCATCATGTTATGGAAACCTAGGTACTGTGTTTACGTCGCTTGGCCAATACGACAAGGCTGAAGAGTATCTCCAAAAAGCGCTTGTCATCACAACTGAAATTGGCGACAGAGGAGGGGAAGCATCATGTTATGGAAACCTAGGTACTGTGTTTAAGTCGCTTGGCCAATACGACAAGGCTGAAGAGTATCTCCAAAAAGCGCTTGTCATCAGAACTGAAATTGGCGACAGAGAAGGGGAAGCATCATGTTATGGAAACCTAGGTACTGTGTTTAAGTCGCTTGGCCAATACGACAAGGCTGAAGAGTATCTCCAAAAAGCGCTTGTCATCAGAACTGAAATTGGCGACAGAGGAGGGGAAGCATCATGTTATGGAAACCTAGGTACTGTGTTTACGTCGCTTGGCCAATACGACAAGGCTGAAGAGTATCTCCAAAAAGCGCTTGTCATCACAACTGAAATTGGCGACAGAGAAGGGGAAGCATCATGTTATGGAAACCTAGGTACTGTGTTTGCGTCGCTTGGCCAATACGACAAGGCTGAAGAGTATCTCCAAAAAGCGCTTGTCATCAGAACTGAAATTGGCGACAGACGAGGGGAAGCATCATGTTATGGAAACCTAGGTACTGTGTTTACGTCGCTTGGCCAATACGACAAGGCTGAAGAGTATCTCCAAAAAGCGCTTGTCATCAGAACTGAAATTGGCGACAGAGGAGGGGAAGCATCATGTTATGGAAACCTAGGTACTGTGTTTACGTCGCTTGGCCAATACGACAAGGCTGAAGAGTATCTCCAAAAAGCGCTTGTCATCACAACTGAAATTGGCGACAGAGAAGGGGAAGCATCATGTTATGGAAACCTAGGTACTGTGTTTACGTCGCTTGGCCAATACGACAAGGCTGAAGAGTATCTCCAAAAAGCGCTTGTCATCACAACTGAAATTGGCGACAAAAATGTTATGGAAACCTAGGCTGTGTTTTGTCATCACAACTGAAATATAAGTCATACGACAAGGCTGAAGAGTATCTCCAAAAAGCGCTTGTCATCACAACTGAAATTGGCGACAGAGGAGGGGAAGCATCATGTTATGGAAACCTAGGTACTGTGTTTAGTCGCTTGGCCAATACGACAAGGCTGAAGAGTATCTCCAAAAAGCGCTTGTCATCACAACTGAAATTGGCGACAGAGGAGGGGAAGCATCATGTTATGGAAACCTAGGTACTGTGTTTCAGTCGCTTGGCCAATACGACAAGGCTGAAGAGTATCTCCAAAAAGCGCTTGTCATCAGAACTGAAATTGGCGACAGAGGAGGGGAAGCATCATGTTATGGAAACCTAGGTACTGTGTTTCTGTCGCTTGGCCAATACGACAAGGCTGAAGAGTATCTCCAAAAAGCGCTTGTCATCAGAACTGAAATTGGCGACAGACCAGGGGAAGCATCATGTTATGGAAACCTAGGTACTGTGTTTAAGTCGCTTAGCCAATACGACAAGGCTGAAGAGTATCTCCAAAAAGCGCTTGTCATCAAAACTGGGGACGCAACTGGGTATGGAAACCTGGGTACTGTGTTTAGGTCGGTTGGCCAATACGACAAGGATTAAGAGTATATCCATGTTTCTGTAGTCATCACGTCTGATATTGGGGACTGAAAGGGGAAGCATCATGTTATGGAAACCTAGGTGCTGTTTTTACGTCGCTTGGCCAATACGACAAGGCTGAAGAGTATCTCCAAAAAGCGCTTGTCATCAGAACTGAAATTGGCGACAGAGAAGGGGAAGCATCATGTTATGGAAACCTAGGTACTGTGTTTACGTCGCTTGGCCAATACGACAAGGCTGAAGAGTATCTCCAAAAAGCGCTTGTCATCAAAACTGAAATTGGCGACAGAGACAAGGGGAGGCAACTGACTACGGAAACCTAGGTACTGTGTTTAAGTCGCTTGGCCAATACGACAAGGCTGAAGAGTATCTCCAAAAAGCGCTTGTCATCATAACTGAAATTGGCGACAGAGGAGGGGAAGCATCATGTTATGGAAACCTAGGTACTGTGTTTCAGTCGCTTGGCCAATACGACAAGGCTGAAGAGTATCTCCAAAAAGCGCTTGTCATCACAATTGAAATTGGCGACAGACAAGGGGAAGCATCATGTTATGGAAACCTAGGTACTGTGTTTACGTCGCTTGGCCAATACGACAAGGCTGAAGAGTATCTCCAAAAAGCGCTTGTCATCAGAACTGAAATTGGCGACAGAGGAGGGGAAGCATCATGTTATGGAAACCTAGGTACTGTGTTTCAGTCGCTTGGCCAATACGACAAGGCTGAAGAGTATCTCCAAAAAGCGCTTGTCATCAGAACTGAAATTGGCGACAGACGAGGGGAAGCATCATGTTATGGAAACCTAGGTACTGTGTTTACGTCGCTTGGCCAATACGACAAGGCTGAAGAGTATCTCCAAAAAGCGCTTGTCATCACAACTGAAATTGGCGACAGAGGAGGGGAAGCATCATGTTATGGAAACCTAGGTACTGTGTTTACGTCGCTTGGCCAATACGACAAGGCTGAAGAGTATCTCCAAAAAGCGCTTGTCATCACAACTGAAATTGGCGACAGAGGAGGGGAAGCATCATGTTATGGAAACCTAGGTACTGTGTTTACGTCGCTTGGCCAATACGACAAGGCTGAAGAGTATCTCCAAAAAGCGCTTGTCATCAGAACTGAAATTGGCGACAGAGAAGGGGAGGCAACTGACTACGGAAACCTTGGAACTTTTTTTAGAACTGTTGGTGATTTTGAAGCTTCGGAAGTATGCTTGGAGAAAGCTCTATTCATATCCAGAGATATTGGAGATGGAAGAGGAGAGTTTGATATCCTCCGAGGTTACGCCGTTTTGTATTTATGTCAAGATAAAATCAAAGACTCTCTGTCGTGTCTTCACCTGTGCATTGAAAAGTATGAGGAGCTGAGATATTTCTTGGGCGCCAATGATCAGTTCAAAACATCATTTCTGGAGGACACAGGAATATTCCCCTACAAGCGGCTATCTACTTTGCTTTGTGACACCGGAAATGCTCGGGATGCTCTTTATGTTGAGGAGTTGGGTCGAGCTAGAGGCCTATCAGACTTAATGGCAGAGAAGTACTCGGTTGAAACGCACATCTCTGCTAATCGACAATCTTGGTTTGGCATTGAGGACATTTTAAGAAAGAAAAGAAACTGTACTTGTCTGTACATTTCTTATTTTCAGAATCGTCTGCATTTGTGGATCTTGAAAACAAGTGGAGTCCTTCACTATAGAAGAGTATCACCAGAAGAGAATCTAGTTCAGGCTGGGTTACCCAAAGATTTGTCTGTGAGTCAATTTTTGGATTATAATTTCCGGAGTCTTGGTATTTTGCCCACTAAAGATTGTGAAGATCGGTCTTTAAATACGATTAAATTGCAACCTCTCTCCCCCGCGCAAAAGAGCTCAGCAAGATTGCGACTTTTGGACGAGGACGAGGACGAGGACGAGGACGAGAAAGTGATTTCAAGTCTATACTTGTGTTACAAAATGTTCATTGCCCCCGTTTATGATTTGCTTGATGAGCCTGAAGTCATTATTGTTCCTGACCGCAGGTTGTACAAAGTTCCCTTTGCTGCCCTGAGTGAAAAGGAGGGAGCCGAATACTTGTCAGAGACTCATAAGATCCGTATCATTCCTTCGTTGACAACACTCAAGAACATTCAAGATAGTCCAGAGGACTATCACAGCAACACTGGTGCCTTGGTAATAGGCAATCCCAAAGTTAATTGGCTGCAATCATTGCCAGCTGCAAGAAAGGAAGCGGAGATGGTCGGACAACTGGTGGGTGTTCCGCCTCTAGTTGAAGAGAAAGCAACGAAGCAGGCGGTACTGGAGCGGATAAGTTCAGTGAGCTTGATACATTTTGCTGCCCATGGTAACGCGGAAAGAGGGGAAATTGCACTCTCCCCCAATCCCTGTCCCAACAGTCAAACCGCTCTCCCACCGAAGGAAGCTTACATGTTGACGATGGCTGATGTCTCACGAGTGAAAGTCAGAGCTAAACTGGTGGTACTTAGCTGCTGTCACAGTGGAAGTGGAGAGATAAGAGCCGAGGGAGTTATAGGAATTGCCCGTGCGTTCTTAGGATCCGGTGCTCGCTCGGTGTTGGTTGCACTGTGGGCCATTCCAGACTCAGCAACAGAGCAGCTGATGAGTCGGTTCTACGAACACCTCATTGAAGGTGGAAGTGCCAGTGAATCCCTTCATCAGGCCATGAAGTGGATGAGAAAAAACCCCTTGAACAAAATCTCTGACTGGGCTTCGTTTACGCTGATTGGAGATGATGTGAGACTCGAGTTTGACAACCAGCGGCAAGACTCGGTGAGAACAGGTATTTCATAAATTAAAGTTAAATTAGATGTGAGGATGGTATATATATATATATATATATATATATATATATATGTAAATATATATATATAGATATATATTTACGCACCCTTTTTTTTCCTTTTTCAAGAGTTACTATCTCCGCTCTCTGGTGTAAAATATAGAATCTCACAGATGCCTCTCTACCAACGAGACACAAGTAATAGCCAATTATTTTTATATATCGTGCTTGGTGTAATTGTGTTTGCTTTATATCCAAAATATTAATTGAGGTAATAATAAATTGGGTTATTTCAATTTTTTTCTTGCAGGAAAAAAGACCCCGATAGAGTAAATAATGACAAGTACTCGAAGGGAACAGAGTTAAAAGACTTTTAGATGGATAAATTAAATAGAAATAAGTAGAGAAAATACTCTATCCAGTATTTCATCGACATTAAAAAAAAAGAGCTATCCCAGGTTAGGGGAGATTTATTCCAATTTTTGCTGCTTTCTTTTCTAATATTCTCAGGAGGCAGTAATGATTATGTACTCAACAATTTTTTGTTTTTCACGCAAAAATTATATTAGACACGAAACAATGTTGACCTACGTAAGGCTTTTGAGTAAAACGAATTCAGTAAAGTTAAGACAGTAGTTTAAGTATTAAACAAACCACTAAAATCTGGTTTAATTTTTGTGTTTTCAAGCCTTTTGTAAGGTTTAGTTATTAAGAATACCTTCCATATTTGTTTTTGTTAATATACGGGTAACTGCGGAGAGATTCGTTTATACTAGCTCAACGCCTAGCAGGAGTCGTGCCGGCACGTAAACACTTTTTAAGTGGCGTTAAGATAGGATTCGCAAAAGGAGAAGCGTTGCGCATCCTAAAAATAAGTCCGAAGCACTTCACATTTAAAAAAATCGTACAGAGCTTAAAAATACGACTAAAAGAGGGGAAAGAGTATACCTGACGAACTTCTGGAGAAATACGTGTCTGAAGTTATCTGCTCCAGTAGAGAAGGATCACTTCCGGCTTTACAAAAGCTCAAGAACACGCTGATGTGGAAATGTCACATTCAAAATCACATCGCCAAAAAGTATATCCTGGCCAGAACTGATCTTTGGAGACAGAAGTTTAAAATCGCTTGCAGATGGCGGGAGTGTCATGCGGGCATGTCGATACTTCAATTTTTAACTGGTCACTTGCCACTTGTGCTATGCACCCTGCGCGAAGCTTGTCGACTCTTAAATGCAGAAAAATCTCTGCCAATTGGCTATGAGTTAGATCTCTGAAATATGGAAGTAATCCTGTCTTGGAATAAAGAGTTCATCTGTTGTAGAATAAGTTGATTCGTAACACCCTGTATGTAAGGAATAACAGCAAAACCAGTCGCTGATTCTTCTGGTCTTCATCAAGAGCGTTACTATTTGTAACTGGTTTTTGGCAGTTACGGAGAAAAGTTTTTATATAGCCATTTGCCCATTTGGATTTTAGTGAAGAGCGAAACAACGTCGAAAGATACTAATTCTTCACAAGCGTTAAGAGTTTTATCTTTTATGAAATCCCCAAATTCGCAGGAATTTTTGACAGTGTAATCAGTATTCCCAACAACAGGCGACAAAATTCTCGCAAGAAAACCAGAAATTGCATAAGTCGGAGAATTAACAAAAGAGACAATTGGTCTCAAAGGAATTCCCGGTTTATGAATTTTAGGTAAGCCATAAAAACGTGGACATAAGCCGTCACTACTGTATAATATTTTGTACGTAGAGTCACTAATTTTACCAGCTTTTTGCAAATCAAGCAACATTTTTTTTACTGGTAGGATCAGAGTTTAAGACAGCATACGTACTCTTGTCATTAAGCAGAGTCAAAGCTTTGTCGTGATATTGCTGTTTGTCCATTACCACAACACAATTACCCTTGTCAGCAGATAATACGAGCCTGTCCGGATCCTTTTTGAGAGCTATAAGTGCATTGAAAACATCCTTTTGAATGTTTTTGGGAGGAGGTTTAGATCGTGACGATGGCGGTTTGCTTCCTGACGCTTATTTACACCTCGTCAGAAAAACGTTTGGTCTATGAATTGTAACTTCAGTTACATTCATTAAATCTGCAAACCAGAGTAGCATCAAACTATGTCTGATTGTCCAGGTTGCCGTGTGAACTTTAATGTATTAGATAAGAAGGCATTTGCTTACCTTGGCTCCTTTGATCACTGAACCAGTCGGCCTACGGTTGATGAAGTTCGGGATCTTTTGGTCGGTAACGGCCCATGGAAGCGCGCTTGACAAGGTGATACAAGATGTCCTACTATTGCGTCACTTCCAAACCATTGATTCGGAAATTCCGTATTCCCTCGCTATCTCTCGATTGTTGTTAACAGCTTCAGCTTCAATTACGATTTTTCAACTTAAAGTTGAGATCGTAAGAATGATGGCGAGTGTTTGGCATGATTGTGCTGAATGTAGACTTCGCAAGATAATGTTCACCAGGTGAAGTAAATTTGCGACTACTGATTTTGTTGATCGAATTGTTTTTATACTTTAAAACCATGTTTCCCGAGAGGGAAGGCTAAAAATTAATGTGTACCGATAGGTTGTCATTAAATGTGTGACCTTTTTTGCCTTTTGTTTATCACTGTGATTAAATGTGTGACATTTTTCGGCTTTTGTTTATGTGTGTGACATTTTGCTTTTGTTTAATCAAGGCTTTTGTTTGTGCGCGTGGTCGCGTGTGCGACAATTCTGCTTTTGTTAATTAACGGTAAACTAAAATCAATACGCGACTTTTTCGCTTTTTTGTAAGTTTATGAAAGAATTTACAATAAACTTGACCAATCTTTACTCCCCAAACAACGATGCGCCTTATAACCAAGTATTTTAGCGATATTTTCAGTTTGAAAACATTTTACACTACTGAAACGAGTAGTTGTAAATAAGACCTGAAAAAAATTTCAGGCCCGTTTTTCAGGTCTTATTTACAACTACTCGTTTCAGTAGTGTTCTTAGCTGCGAGGGTCTCCTAATTTCATCTTTCCACCGCAGTGCAAATATGTGAATTTTCATATATCTAAAATCTTCATTCACTTTGATGTTTATTTGGACCCAATTCATTGACCAGCTCCCAGTTGGCTTGTTAGCTCAATTGGTAGAGCGCTGCACCGGTATCGCAGAGGTCATGGGTTCAAACCCCGTACGGGCCTGAAATTTTTTTCAGGTCTTATTTACAACTACTCGTTTCAGTAGTGTTCTTAGCTGCGAGGGTCTCCTAATTTCATCTTTCCACCGCAGTACAAATATGTGAATTTTCATATATCTAAAATCTTCATGCAATAATGAAATTGCCAAATTGGGGGTGCGTCTTATAGCCGAGTGCGCCTTATAACCGAATAACTACGGTAGTATGGAGGTAATTACCAGCACGATCTGGTTCTTACTTGTTCTGCACTTTTCCATGCAGACCGTTTCCTGTGAAACGATCATAATCCATGTATTTTTGTTTTGAAAGGCACCAAATTTAAAACTAAAAAGTTTAGTCCAGTTGCAATGTGATGAATCACTTGCTAACTTTTCTTGCTCAAATTCTACTGAGGAATATTGGCCATCCGTTGTTTTTGTGAGGAACTCAGGAAAATGTTCTCTTATGGCCCTCAGGCTTGGTAAGAAGTTATCATTTGCAGTTATGGCTGAATTAATCTGCTGCAAATTTACATTTATAAAATGAATGAGAGACAGTTGATTTCATTTTGATTCATATTTTATATTTTTAATATGGTTGACGTGGTGGGCATGGTCACCACATCCACCGTGTAGGAGTGGCCTCTCCCTCCTAAGTTGAAACATTTTTTATTTCTTTGATAGAAAAAAAAAAATGAAAAGTTGAGGTAAGGCAATGCACTTGCAAGGAGATGTTACCCAACTGACAACTATACTCACAAGATCTAAATAAATTACCCTTTTGCCCTAAAATCCCTATTTGTATTATCATAGATTTTTATCTTTCAATGCCTGCTTATGGCAGCTTTTGTTGGATTGGAAATAAAACAGTCTTTGTATATGTGTATGTGCTGGAAACTGTTGCAATGGACCTTCAAAGGGTTTTTTATTTGATCTATATTAAATTTTAATTTCTTTGTCAACAGTCAAAAATAATCATATAGTATCACCTTTTTTTTTCCTTCTCACCTTTAAATCTTTGAAAAATTATTTAATCTTCTATTTGAGAATTGTTAAGAAATGGAATTTATTTTAATACAAATAAGGATTTACACTGTTTAGTAGTATCATTTGTGGCTCTAATGAAACAAACAATGTATTTTCACAGTTGTTAGCTTCCAATCTTTGTTGGACAGTAAGAAAAAATTTTGGTATGTATGAAATGGAAGCATCATACCATGGAAAATGCTTGAACAATTTTTATCCACTTGTCGCGTTGATCAAAAAAATTCACTAGTTCACTAGGCTCACATGTTAATTTTTGTTTGATGCAATAAATCTCATTTGTGCACACTTTCCATGGAATAATCTCTGTTTGTTACAGATTGAAAAATATTTCTTGGGCCCCATACTGTTTCTAAAATTTAACTTCTTTTCGCATGAGCATGATAAATTAAAGAGTTTCTGAATACTGTGGAAAATGACATCTAAAACAAATGTTAGCCTAGTTTATTGTGATGTCAGTTGTTGTTAGGTTACTATTTACTTTACTTCACCATTCCACTTCTTCCACACCTTCTCTTTTTTATTATTTTTCTTGTCCACATCTATTTTATGAAAAAAACAATACTTGGTTTGAACAAGTTTATTAAAAATACTGCACAAGTTCTATAATTGTATCAGAAAAGGTTTCTCTGAAGTGACAATATTGAACCAAGTGATGGTAACATTGCAAAATTATGAACTTCTACTTTACTGGAAATGGTCAAAGGAAAAACAGTTTGCTAACCAGACATCATTTCTTATTGCTTAGACTTTAACAGGAAAGTTGTATTTCAAGGAGGCTATGGTGTCACTTTTCCAACTTCCTACAGAGGGGAAAGACTATTCACTGTGTACAGTTGCATGACATTTTTTGGAATCATAGCATTATAGAAGAAAAGAAAATACTACCGTAGACACTTACCGTATTTCTTCACCTACAAGCCGAGCGATTTTTCAGTATTTGACACAAAAGTTTGAAAATTTTTTCACAAGAAACGGGGTTCGGCTTATAGCCGAGGGTTTGGGATTCAAAACAATTACAAATTTTAATGTTAATGCGAAATGACCGTAAATTTCGTGACTGCAGCGCTCTTTACGTGATGTGCTTTTAAATTGACATGATAACAACGTATTTCTGACCACCAATCAGATTCTTTGCTTCCCACGCATTGAAAGACGATCTCACTCAACTCGGCAAAAACTCTCCTCATCGCACATTACTAATGAAATATTTGGTCTCTCTGCTGTGAAAGTCACTCCATCGCTTGCTCGTCTAGTTTGCACGTTTTGCCGAAATCTTAAGCTTGCCAGAAAGAATAGTCGCCGAGTCTCGCCTCCAGCGTCGCACCATGGACTCGCTAAGTCCATAATCTCGAGCGATTTCCGAGCTGTTTTCTACAGCTTCGGCTTCCGCGATAACTTTTATCCTGAAAGCTATAGTTTACAAAAAGCGGCGTGCTTCTG